TGTCCTCTTCCTCCACTGTGAAAATGGAAGCAAAGTATTCATTAACAAGTCTGCCATTTCCTTAATGTCCATTAGTCTCACCTACATCTATCTTTAATGAGCCCTTTACTACTCTCATTCTCATAATATATTTATGAAAAGTTTGGACTGTTGCCCTTGATATCTCTTGCAAGTTTTTTCTCTTATTCCCTTTTTGCACCTCTTTTATTAATTTCTTTGTATCTCTTTATTGCTTTTTAGTCCCCTAGATTTCCCCTTCTCCTAGCATTAGAGTAAGCCTTTTCTTTTAGCAGGTGTTGCAGTTTCAAAGCCAACCTAAATGTTGCAATAATTGCTATAACATCAGTCAGCTGCAATGAGCTACATAGGAACAATTCAGTGTCTAGATGTTCAAGGGGAGAAATATATGGATTCAACTGCAGACTTAATAGCAATGTACAAAGAAAAAGGGTTAGCTTGAGAGATGTTCAAATCACAGGTTGCGGATATGGGCCATGGCACACCAATTTGTTTATGTGCCCTAATTATACCTTGTGCAAGTTACCCAGTACAAACCACCTCTGAGCTGTGGCTTGGATGGTTTGGAATCTGATGTTATTGTTGTAATCGTATTTGAACCAAGGTTTTCTTAAGGTTTAAGCATTGAGACATAGATGCATATGTGCACTGCATGTAACCTAGGCCTCTTGCCAGGCCCCTAAGTACACAGCAGGAAGCAGCAGGCTGAAGGAAAAAAACTTCTCTACTCATAAGTTGCTGGGCAACATGTGTACCCTACATTCGAGTAGCTTGCAATCTCACATTGGGACTTTGAGCTCCCAATCTAGGCTGACATTCCAGTGCATTGCTGGGAGAGAACAGCACTGCCAGAGCTGCCGACCTTCTGGTGAGATGTTAAACTGAAGTCTCATTTGCCTGTTTGGGTAGTTAGCCTTAAAGATCTCATGGGGTTATTCGAAAAGAGAAGTTTCTCCCAGTGTCCTGGCCAACAATCCTCTGGATAAAATTAAATGACTCACTCCATGGCTGTTTGTGGGCATTGCTTTATGTAAACGAGCTGCAGCATTTGCCTACAAAAAATTGTTACTGCACTTTACAATAAATTCTGTAAAATGCTTTGAAACAAGGTGACAAATCACTATATCAAATGCATGGATTGTTATTATTGTTGACTATCCACAGACTATTTATGAACATTTCATGAATTCTTAAAATAGGAAAGTGGACGGTCCAGCACCACCAACAGATAGTGGAGGGTCTGGGTTCATCTTCCGGATTTCCTTTGATCTGGTATAAAGAGGTGCTGCCAAATGTAAATTGGCTGTTGTATTTGCCTACAAATGCCCAGTCAATTTACAGAAATGTTGTGAATCGCTTTCACTGCATCAAATGCAAGGAATATTATTCATGGATAATTTTTCATCAATAGTAAAGTGGATTATGAGCGGGATCAGAAGCAGGCAGCTGTTTGCTGAGCAAAGGGAGGGGCAATAGGATGCATGGCTTGAAGTAATGTCATTGAGGTTCAAACAAATGAGGTTCAAATTCCCTCCATGTGGTGGAGTGAACAGCCATGCAGGTCAATGCCTGCCTCCACTTCCCATCAAATTCAAACCACTAAATCAATAATAATCCTCGCATTTGAGACCGGTTTTGAAAGGAGAAATGGAAGGTGCGAGTTGGAGGGACTTAAGGAATTTCGAGCAGCGGCGGGAGGGGAAGGGGGTGGGCAGAGTAGTTCAACGCTCGTCTGGAGATGGTGGGATGGAGGAAAGTAAAGCAGAGAAGCAGAAGGCGTGGGCAGGGGAGTAGAGGTTGGGTGGGCAAGGGCATTGAAACATTCGAAGGGAAGGAAAGGGATCTTAAAAGTCAATTCCTCTCCCACATACAACTACAGGATAACACTGGGCAAACCAAACACAATACTATTTAAGAGAGAAGCAGATAATTATTTGGGGAGGACAAGTTTTCAGGGCTATGGGAAGAGAGTGGGGAAATGGGATTGAATTAGAGGATCGAATTCAAGATCCTCATCCTCACCTACAAGTCCATTCACGGCCTTGCTCCCTCCTACCTCTCTGACCTACTATCCCCCTACCTACCTGCCCGTACCCTCCGTTCCTCTGGCTCCGGTCTGCTCCACATCCCCCGCCCCAACCGCCCTACCATCGGTGGTCGGGCCTTCAGCCTCTCAGCCCCGAGGCTCTGGAACTCTATGCCCCAGTGCTTTCGCCGCCTCCTCCCTTTCCTCCTTCAAGGCCGGTCTCAAGACCTTTCTCTTTGACCGTGCCTTCAGCTCCTCTCTCGACTCTCTACCCCCTCCTCGCTCCTTCCCTTCCCTCCCCTCACCCTGACCATTTCCCCTCTGCTCAGGTCCCGACCCAATTGTCCAGCGCCTTGGGACGTCCTCCCGACGTGAAAGGCGCTCTATAAATGGAATCTTTTTGTTGTTGTAGATAGCTCTTTTCAAAGAGCCGGCACAGACACAATGGGCCAAATGGCCTCCTCCTGTGCTATATAATTCTATGATTCTATGATATTTGAAACAATAAACAGGAAGGTTCTGCTTAAACTGTTTGAACCTCAATGACATTACTTCAAGCCATAAAGATACACATGCCCATAGTAACCCAAGACATCTCTGATGGTTGGCTAATCTCTCTAGTTCATCGGTGAGACGAGGAAGTGAGGACATATCCTCAACACTGAAGAGTCAGCCAAAGCCATTGTGAAACAGGGTTGTCCTGAAGCAGACAAATCTTAATCAAGACTCAATATGGGATCCCTGCAGTGACTAGAATCATCTCCTTCCACTAAACCTTGTGACTGATCCATATAGAATAGGTACATACAAACCTCCGCTAACCAGGGGATCACAGCTATCCACGGTCACTGCACTGACCTCCTGAAATTTGGAGGAGTTTCCAATATTCTGTAACGGAGCCGTGAGACCAACCCAAGAGGGAGGAAAACCAGGTGAAATTGAAAGGACAGCATAGCTGATTCACAAACAACGTGTCACTGGGAGTCACGGGAACAGAGTAATACTGTACTGTTCACGTGGTGCACAGGAAGAGAGGAATTATTCATTAGATTTAATTGCGGTAATTACATTTCAGGTTCTTTCGCAGTCTGCCCTCTCCCATATTACTGCACAAAAAACATATACTTAATTCGTCAAACCACAATTCCAGAAGCAACAAACAATCAGATCTGTGTAGCTCAATAGTGAAGCCAGAGGAATCCTGAGGGAAAGAGTAGGCAACATTAAGGAGTTCACTTTGCTAGATTTTGCCTCTGGGCAATCGTTTCTCCCCACACCGGTTTCCACTGGCTCTCCCAAAAAGGAAACGTATAGCCTTGGGTCCATAGCCAGTTTTGCTTGGCAACAATCCAGGCACCACATCAATCTGCAGCTTTTAACAGGCCGCTTATGCTTCATTGCAGTGCAATTCTGTCCAAAAACAAAAGTTCTGAAGGGGCAGAGGAACCCTCAGTGATGCTTCCCGTTCCTCCATAATAGGACTTCAATCTAAGATTCCTCCACCGTGTGCACACTGTGAGCAAACAAATTAAAAGGGGCCCATCTTTGGTTGACCAGGAACAGCAAGAGAGCTCTGTCATTTCTGAAGCAATATGGTTCAGTTTAATTTAATCCCACTGAGAATCTTCTAATTGTCCCGCTTTAGTCATTCTTTTCTTTAACCATTTCTTGTCCGTACAGATTAATTTACTACGAAATGCTTGGCTTCCCTCAATGTTCAGCACCCCCCCCATCCCCCTATCACTGCCAATCCAAACTGCTAGGAGACTCTCAAGAGAGGGGCAGTGCTGCAGATCTCCTCTTTCTGTCAGTGAGCCCCACTCTTTGAGGGCTAAACTCCCCTTTCACATATTGCACTAGGTGAGGGATAGAGGTACAATCAGATCCCTTTATAAGCGGTAATTTTATAATCCAGAGGTACCGCGGATCCACAGTGTACAGAATTTATAGCCTAGAAGTGCTGACCAGTAATCATCTTCCCCTCCCCATTCTCCTCAGCTCGGCTGCCAAGCCAGAACTGGTGAGTGCCTTGGGACATCCTCCCAATGTGAAAGGCGCTACGTAAGTGTAAATTTGTATTGTGTATTGTATTTTTATGATGTGACCAGTTAGAATGGACTGAAACCACCGCATTTTAAAAGTGGTCAACAAACTATTTTTAAGCCATTTCCTCTCTCCCACCTTCCCACCCAGTGTCTTATTACTGATGTCTACAGACTCAGAGACATCAATAGCCAACCAGTTACTCTCCAAGTGATCATACTTCACATGTGAGGCTGTAAAAGGAGTCACTCATCCACACAGCTGAACCTCGTGTCATCCACACCCAATGGTGACACCTGCACACACGGCGTCAGCCCTGCCTGGTTTTTGCTCCTTGGCCCAGGGAGACTGAGTCTAATTCTAGTGCACTTAATACTGCTCTAGCTGAGGTTGAGTAACATAGGACACCAGTAACATTGAAAATCAAGATGGTGAAATACAAGTCTGCATATTATATGGGAAAACTGAGGGAGGTGAGGAGCTCAGCAATGAGACGATGTGATGGGACTGGATTTCAATTTACAGTCGGGAGGTTGGGACAGTTGGGAGGGAGGGACGCACGAGAGGTGCTCAGACAGTGGATGGTACGTCCTTCCCTCTCTATTGGGAATTGTATAGCCTGTACTCAATGCCTGTCCACCTTACGATGTAGGATGAGTTCAATCATTCTACTAGAGCTGGAATTACACACCCTACTTCTCCACAGAAGAGTTGCAAAAATAAATTTGAGGGCAGGTTTCAAAAAGAAAAAAAACACTGCAAATTTTATTGCCATGACACAACTAACTTAAAAGAGCTCCCATCTGTCTAAATGCACCAGGATGATTTGGTGCAGATCAACATTACCAGGATCCGTGCTCGCTATTAAACACAGTCAGCATCACCAGATAAATTCAAACCAGCACAGGAAGTAAAAGAAACCATTTTGTGGGTGGAATTTATTTGTTTTTTCAATGGGATTTCAAAGAAAACCTTACTCTGCACAAAGCACTGGGGGAGCCTCTGGAGAGGATTTAATTCTGCGGCACTAGATATTTACAAGAATATTTTGAGAGAAATTGAGAGTCTTGTTCTGAACAAGGTTAACATACGCAAAGTTTCTGCCCATCCCACCATCAAGGCAACAGACTGACATTCAGTTGGGCTTACTCTCCCAAACTTTCTCTCTCTCTTCAGATGGCGGGTTGTCAGTTTTCAAGGAAGGCCACGTAGTCAGTCAGTCTGGCCAACTGCTGCTCATTAGGAATCTGTGGTACTGGGAGAGATTCTGTTAAAGAGAACAGAAAGAGAGAAAATAAATCACACTTGATTCTCTCCTCTCTCGTCTCCCCCCCCCCCCCCCCCCCCACCCCCGAACACAACCATTAGTAACGTGGGAGTCCAAAGAGAAGCAAATGGACATGATTTTTTTCAGGGGGTGGGGGGAAGAGACAGCGATTGGTATTAAATACATCAGGCATTACAAGGAGCAGTGACTAACCAGGATAAAGAGCAGGATAAATCAAAGACTTGCATTCCATCTTCAACACAAAAGATGGAGTTGCTTCTTTGAAACCACTGAGGTTACATCTGGAAAAGCATCTGCTGACAGCTGGCATATGGAAAGCCCCCATTCTTTTCAAGAAAGCAAAACGAAGGGATTGCAATTGACGATCTGCTCAAGTCACTAAATTTTCTGATTTCTTCACCAAAAAACTCAAGAAAATGACTCTAAAGTATATGCATTTTTGGAGCTGGAATCAGATGCAGACACAACTTAAAAAGTTTTTTTTAGACAAACCAGACTATTTTTGTCAACTTGATCTGAGGGAATGATTTACATGCAAAGTATTCTAATATTTTCATTCGCTGAGCGGCAAATATAAAGCTGTATTTATGTTTCCCTTTCCACGGAGCATTTACTGTACTTTTAAACTATAGAGCGGCAGTGCCACCTACCTGCTTTCTTAGGTACTACCATTCTCGTGGTTGGATCTGCCTGCCATCCCTGCTCCAGCACGGCTGCAATGAGAAAAGGGAATCGTGTTGAAAAGCTCTCTGACCATAGAAGTTGGTAAAAATGCCACGAAAAGCATTACAATTTCATACAGACAAACAAAGCGGTCTGTGCAAAGCTTACTGTACAATACAAATACAGTTGAGACAGACAGGGGGAAAAGGAGGAGGTGAACATAGGCACCATCAAAGAGGTAGGTTTTAAGGTGGGATTCTAAAGCAGTTAGAAGGGAAGGAGGAGGGATAGGGGCATGGAGTTCCATATGGAAGACAGAGTGACTGATCCAGTGAAGAGGAAGGTAGTGGTCAGGAACCATAAAATATCAACTCTGCTGGTTACTGCACTAAAAAAAAGGCCAACTTCTGGGGCTGCTGATGTCACTTCTGCTGTGCTCCAACCATGCAAAGCAAGAAGTAACGTGGGCAACAACCCCATTGACCCAGTCGGTGGTTATTGTTAGTAAGCGGGAAGCTAAAATGCATCGGCCTGGAGCAGTGGTAGCACTCTCACCTCTGAATCAGAAGGTTGTGGGTTTAAGCCCCACGTTGGGAATCGGAATCAAGGTCTTAAGTTGGCATTCCAATGCAGTGCTGAGAGTGTGTTGTATTGTCGGTGGTACCATCGGTGGTGATGAGACATTAAACCCGTCTGCCTGTACAGGTGGATGTTAAAGATCCATAGCACTATTCGAAAAAAGAAGGGAGTTTCTCTCTCCCAGTGTCCTGGCCAACAATCCCGCAAATAAAATTGGTCACTCACACCATAGCTGTTTGTGGGTCACTGCTGTGCACAAACTGGCTGCATCCGTTTTGCCTGCAAAATACACAGTCAATCCACTTTACAGTATATCCTGTGAAGAGGTTTGAGACATCTCAACAGCGTGATAAGGCGCTATATCAAATGCAAGGATTATTATTTTTATTATTAAAATGGTCAACTTCTGGATAACAGGGTACTGCTATCATTTCCTCTCTACTCTCAAAGAGAAGCACTTTGAGACATTGACATGGCAAGGCGCTATAAAATTGTAAGTGGATGCTGCCCCATGCTGAGCTGCTCCAGGAAACACTTGGATGCTTTCTTGGTAATGAAAGCGTTGTTTGAATAAAGCTCCAGAAAAAAAAAACAAGCCTCTGCAGAAACCACGTGTGTTCTTTGCATTAGGATAACAGTATAAAACCAATAAAATAAACTTTGGCACTACAGAAAGGTAATCACAGGAGCCAATTACCCAGCACACGTGTTTTTTACTGCCTCACACAGTGCCAGAGTGCTCCACAGCACAATTCATTCAAACTCCACTGCTGTCTAATTTAGTTTTCAAGCACTTAAGGTAAAACTCCAGCTCAAATGTACCAATATTTCTCCATCTCTCTGTCATCTTGAAATAATCATTGCACTTGACATAACTCCTCATCACGTTGTCAAAATGTCACGAAGCATCAAACAAGGCAGCCAATTAGCGCACAGCAATGTCCTACAAACAGCATGAAGAGAATGACCAATTTTATTTGTGGATTGTTGCCCAGGACTCCAGAATGAACTCCCTTCTTCACTGCATTTGTAACGTCCACCTGAACAGGCATACTCGGTTTATCATCTCATCCAAAGGATGGCATCTCTGACAGATTGTGGGTTCACAATCTTATGACTTAGAGGCAAGAGTGCAACCAACTGTGCCAGGCTGACACCTTCCTGGTCTACTGAAGGAGGAGGCCACCAGGTTTCCAGGAACAGCCTGGTATTGCTGTGTGCTGTTCACCTTCCCTGAGCCTCAACTAGTGTTGACCATGGGGGTGGGAATTCAAAGCCAAGTCAGACAACTCAACACCCACACACAACTTTCCTAACAGGAGGCACTATTTAGTGATGAGCAGGAACCCTGGCTGACCACATCCAATTCAAGGGCATGGAGCCGAATTGTAGAGCACCAACCTGCCCCAGACAAGATCACTCAAACCTGGCAACCACATCAGGAATCAGTCAACTCCTTCATGAGAGGTGCAAGATGTGAATAAATTGGCAGAAAAAGATTGCCACATTTAAGCTGGACTTGCCCCTTTGCCTTGGCCCCTCGTTCCCCATTTTCAGATTGCATCTGAAGATCTCCCAGTCAAGTCCCCCCTCTTCCCGGCTTGGCATCAAGCTCCGCCACTATTAAGGGCTCAGAGATGCTACCCTGCGTGAAGACAGTATATAAATGCATGTACTTGTTGTTGGACTTAAAAGTCAATTGCATTAAGACTCACTGCTCTACAAAAATAGCTTGCATTCATACAGATCCTTTCACATAGGGCAACTCCTTGGAATGCTTTAGAGAGAGTGCTGGACTCCGAGCAGGGAAGGTGGGGAGGTGTCCGTACTCACTGTTGAAGAGATAGTTTTCAGGAGGTTTTCAAAGACTGATAGAGCGGGAGGGTGTTCCAGACGGCAGTGGGTGTAGGCCCATGATGAAGGGGCACAAGGGATGAGGAATGAGCAGCAGGTCTGAGTTTGCTGAGTGGAAGGAGGGGGCATGCAGGTCACAGAAACAATGCTCCAGTGGTGTTTAAACCCTTCGAATGAAGGATTCATTGAATCCCTCCTGGAAGTCCCTTGGCTGTATGGCTCAGTGACTGGTCAGGTACACACAAAGATACCTCACAGAGGATCTGAAGCTTTTTTCAGTCGTAAAAACACAGCTGAGCGGTAGCTCATTTAAATATTAACAGATTCAAAGCCCATGAGTACATAAAGAAATGCAGGCATAAACATTTCTGTCCAACCCATTTGATAAACATTAGCTGTTTATTTCAGTGCAAACATTAGAAAGGTTCGGTCACGCAATGGTTAGAATCAGAGCCACGTCTGTGAACCAGGCTTCTGGCGAGACTCTGAACCCGCTCCAAGGTGGCGGGGCGCAGCGAGCAGTCATTCACAGTTAAGAACAGGAGCGGGAGGGTTACCTTTAACGGCCTCGTCCACTACCAGCCCCACAAAGGCTGCAAGATCATCGGCGCTGATGGAGGTGTAGGCTTGAGCAACCAGACCAAAGGCACGCCTTCTGGTGGCATCTTTACACAAAGAAGCGAAAGGAAGTGAGCATAACATGAATAAAACGGGCCTATAATAATAATTATTCTATGCATTTGATATAGCACCTTAACATAGTTTTGAGCCGTCTCAAAGAGCTTCACAGAATATAACGTAAAGTGGATTGGCTGTGTATTTTGTGGGCGATACCCAGTGCACAAACACAAATTGCGCACAGCAATATCTCACAAACGGTTATGTATTGAGTGACTAAATTTTTGTTTTGTTTGTTTTGGGGGGATTATTACCCCTGGAAAGTGATCCGCCAATTGACTAATAACTGGGTACCGATCTAATGCTAGGTAAACAGGTGTGTGGAGTAAGGAAACTTGCCTAAGGATTTGGCCTGTCCAGGAAACGAACCCGGGTCCTCTTGCTTGTGAGACGAGCACGCTAACCACTAAGATACGAGACTCCACGAGTAAACAGCAAGCCGTGTGTAACGCCCAAACCAACAACATCCAAAATCCAAAAACCTCTTACACCCCATTGACACAACTCCAAAGCAAAACCAAGTAGAATGAGAAACCAGATTTATACTTCCTGCTCTACTTTGTTTCTCCCGATGTCTTAGTCCGAATGACTGGCAGCTGTGAGGTCTGCTCAAGTATCCGTTTAGCACCAGAAAAAATGGTGTCTTAAATATCCCTGGGTGAAACACTGGGCATTAAGTTATAGGAACAGTAATAAAATGCTGTATAATACAGTATAACAGATCTAATGGAACATCCAAGAATTCTACCAGGACAACGCAGGAATGGAGAGAGACCCTCGTTTGCACTGCAGCTGATGCAAGTTGAGATGCTCCGAAAGCGCCTCCTCCAAACATTTCTCCTGCCCTCTGCTCCTCTGACTCTGTGCTATTCTCTGAGCAACTCTCCCTCTCTCCCTCTGCTCCTTCCTCCACCGCCTGCCTGTATGCTCACCCACACTGAACTCTACACCACCATCATACCAGTCCTTGAAAGGCTCCACTAAAACTTTGGAACCCTCTCCCTCAATCCCTCCGCCTTCCCCCTCCTCCCCCTCTTTTAGATCACAACTGAAGACCTTCCTCTTCGATCACCTCACGATCACCTCATCCTTCCCCCCAGCTCGGCGTCAGGCTCCACCACTGTTAAGAGTTCCAAGACAGTGCCTTCATGAAGGGCACTATATAAATGCAAGTTGTTGTTGTTCCTCCCTCCCTCCCACCAACAGTGGCCGAACTGTCAACCACTTGATCCCTACTTGCTAGATCTACCTCCAAAGATCACTTCTCCCCTTCCCTCCAAAACCTTCTTCAAAAATTATAGATTTTGACTGTGCCTTTAGACAACATTCTGCAATTTCCCCTCTTCCCCCACTCAGCACTCTCCACCACTTTTTAATAATAAATTGGATGAGATGTTAAACCAAGGTTTCGTCTGCTTGTTCAGGTGGACATTTAGAGATTCCAAAGCGTTATTCAAAAAGTTTCTCCCGGTGTCGTTTTTGGTGGTCAGCCGGGTGTGTGACACATGTGAAAACCGATCACCATGCTTGAGTAACCAAACCAAACTGAGAATTCCATGCATCCCACCTACACATGGAAATCCCAGATATAGACTGTTGGAATGGAATGCACATTCTCTCCCTGGAGTGACACATCCTGCTCACCTAATTCTGGAAAGTATTAGGTGCAGGTTAGGTCCAAAGTTTGGGGCCCCCAGAGTGTGGGTTGAGGTCATTGCTGGATTCTAACCAGCTAAAGCCAAATAGCTTGCCATTGATATGCTGTCTGGCAAGTTTTCCCACTGCTCCAGGTCCTGCTGATGAAACTACTGATGTACTGCCATCAGTAGGGACCTGGTATACTGCAGATCTGCCTGGCTCAAGAACCAGACTACCAGAGTGCTGGCTCGATTCCAACTTCCGTTGCCAAGCATGTCACCTTGGAGTCAATTCAGCTCCAAGGAGACCCTGCTTACCTCCCGCCCAAGGAGGATATTCACTAGTTGATCACTCAACATCCGACAAGCTTGGGTTTGATAGTAGGTGGATAGTAGGCACAAGGAACTCCCTGCAAGGTTCCAGGTGGGCAACGCATCTCAGCATGAAATGGGTGACAGCATTGCCACCGTCTTCCTGCTCCCTCCCTCCACTCAGTAGGCTCCGGCCTGCTTCACGTCCCCCGCCTCACTCCCCCCACTATTGGCGGGCAGGTCTTCTGCCACTCTGACCCCACCCTCTGGAACTCCATCCTGCAGTCCTTATGCCTCACCCCCTCCTTTGCCACCTTCAAGATCCATCTCAAGATTCTCCTCTTCGACCGTGCTTTTGATCTCCCTGCTTCCCCCCCTGCACTCCACCACCCCCGACCCCGAATTCCAGCTCGGGTTTAAAACTCTGTCTGTCCAGCGCCTTGGGACACCCTCCCGACATGAAATGTGCTATACAAATGTAATGTTGTTGTTGTTGGTTCCACCAATTGGAGGTGCAGAGTTTAAGCAGCAGCTGCTTGGCTCTCTCCAGGACAATGAAGATGGATGTTTGAACATGTGTTCACGAACTTGGACTCCTGGTAAAGCCTTCCAGTGCACAATTAGCTGCTGTGTTTCGACTACAAAATACACAGCCAATCCACTTACAATATATATTCTGTGAAGCGCTTTGAAATGTCTCAAAGATGTGATAAGGCACTGTATCAAATGCAAGGATTATTATTAAATGTACTGACTATTTTTAGATGAGCACAGCAACTCTTTTGTACATAGCAGTATATCACAAACATTCAGAAATGGCCAATTGTATCTTGAGGGATAGAATTGTACAGCACAGAAGGAGGCCTTTTGGCCCATCATCTGTTCCGGCTCTTTGAAAGAGCTATCCAAATTAGTTCCACTCCGGCTACAAACTTGTCCTCCCAAAATAGTTATCGACTTCTCTCTTAAAAGCTGTTATTGAATCGGCTTTGACCATCCTTTCAGACAATGCATTCCAGATCCAAACAACTCGCTCTGTAAAACAATTTCTCCTCAACTCCCCTGTTTCTTTTAACAACTATTCTGAATCGGTTGTCCTCGGGTTACTGACCCACCCGCCAGTGGAAATAGTTTCTTCTTGTTCACCCTATTGAATCCCCTCATAATTTTGAAAACTTCTATTCAGTCTCCTCTTGACCTCTCTGCTCCAAGGAGAATAATCCTCGCTTCTCTCGCCGCTCCTGATAACTGAAGTCCCTCATTCCTGGCACTATCCTGTTAAATCTCCTTTGCACCCTCTCCAATGCTTTGACATCCTTCCTAAAGTGGAGTGCCCAGAACTGAACCCAGTATTATAGCTGAGACCTAACCAGTGTTTTATAAAGGTTCATCAAAACGTCCTGACTTTTGTATTCTATGCCCCTATTTATAAAGCCTAGTATCCCGAATGCTTTTTTAACAGCTTTATCTACCTGTCCTGAGGTCTCTATGTTCCTTCACCCCCGTTAAGATTGTACCATCAGCTTATATTGCTTCTACTCATTCTTTCTCCCAAAATGAATCACTTCGCATTTCTCCACATTAAACTTCATCTGCCACATGTCTGCCCATTTTACCAGTCTGTCTATGTCCATTTGCAGTCTGATACTATCCTCCTCACTGTTTACTACTTTTCCTAGCTTAGTATCATCTGCAAACTTGGAAACTGTACTCCCTATATCCAAATCCAGGTTGTTTATATAGATCAACAAGAACAGTGGTCCCAATACCGACCCCTGGGGAACACCACTGCACACTTCCCCCAGACAGAAAAACAACTGTTCACCACCACTCTCTGCTTTCTGTCCCCCAGCCAATTCTGTACCCATGTTGCCATTGTCCCTTTAATACCGTGGGCTTCTATTTTTCTAACAAATCTCTTATATGGCACTTTATCAAATGTCTTTTAAAAATCGATACATGAACCTACCTTCACCTTTTCTGTTACTTCATCAAAAAGCTCTATCAGGTTTGTTAGGCATGATTTGCCTGTAACAAATCCGTGCTGGCTGCCCTTTATTAACTCATATTTTTTGAATTGAAAACTTATTTTGTCCTGGATTATAGTTTCTAGAAATTTCCCCACTACTGACATTAGGCTGACTAACCTGCAGTTCCCGGATTTATCCTTCTGCCCCTTTTTGTACAGTGGAGTAACATTTGCAACCCTCCAGTGCTCTGGCACCACCCCGGTGTCCAAGGAGGATTGAAAGATTGTGGCGAAAGCCTCTGCTATTTCCACCCATACTTCCCTCAGTAACCTAGGATGCATCCCGTTGGGACCAGGTTACTTATCTACCTTGAACACTGTCAATCTTTTCAGTACCTCCTCTGGTTATTCTTATCCTATCCAATGTCTCTACCCTCTCCTCCGATACTGTGGCACTGGCTGCTCTTCTTTTGTGAAAACAGGTCCAAAGTACTTATTCAGTACTCATTCACAGGAAGATTTCCTCTTTGGTCCCTAATTGGGCCCACCTTACTTTTGACTAACTTTTTATTGCTTATATGCTTATCTCTTTTATGTCACCCGCTAATCTTTTCTCATACAATCTCTTTGCCCGTCTTATTTCCTTTCTCAGTTCTCCTCTGTACTTTCTATATTCTATTTGATTATCTTCTGTATTTTGGACCTGACATTTATCGTAAACTCCCCAGATAAAATTGGTCATGGTTGTTTGTGGGGAAGTTGCTGTATGCAAATTGGCTACTGCCTTTGCCCACAAAACACAGTCACTACACTTTACAGTGTAACCCGTGAAACACTTTGAGACGTCTCAATGACGTGATAAGGCACTATATCAAATGATAGGATTATTATTATTGTTATTATAGTGTGCGGTGGTAGGAACAAGTGTAGCTAGGATCAAAGACCTTTGACTCAGACCAGGCTCTGGCCCATGAGAGTCCGTCTCTGAGGAGAGAGCATTTATAAGAAAGTAATTGAAATCAATCTTGATGAAGTGATAAGACGCTGTATCAAATAAAGATTATTTATTTACTATTATAATAATCCTTGCCTTTCATATACGACGGGAGGACGTCTCACTTCACAGGATTTCGGAAAACAGATTTTTTTTGAGACTTTCTTCTGAAGTGAAAAAGCCCAATGCAAGTCCAGATCGTTCCACCCTCATGGAGACTCGAGGGAAGGTATAAAAACAGCTTTATATCGATCTATCTTAGCCCAGGGTGGACACCCGATTCATTTCACATCTATGGGAAGATCAAGTTTTGAAGGTCCCACCATTACAGCTGAAGATATGTCGATGAGTAATATTTAAGAGCCTCTTCACGGTGTGCACAGCTTTGCTGCCCAAGGACTCTACAAATACAAAAGCTCTCTGGCTAACACAATGGATCATCTGTGAGTGCAGGCAGGCCTGGCGCACAGGTCCTTGGTCTCGTTCCCAGATGTGTAATTCACTCCATAAAAATCTAATTGCGAACCCCCCCCTCCCACACCCAGCCCCCCCGGGAGGAGGCAAATGAACAGAAGGTTCACAGAGCAACAGAATTCTGCTGCGTGTGAGCAGCAATTCAATGAACACCTGCACTCCATAAAAGCAGCTACACTTGATTACATCTGTGGAATGAGCCTGAGTTCCCTTTAGCGGGCATCCAAACTGATACTCCTGGATTCAAACTGAAGAAAACCCAAAAAGTCAGCACTGTTTATGCTGACTTTTTCGCAGCAATTCCTGGTTACAAATACAGTGTAAATGTAAGGGGGTTGGGGGGGGTGGTGTGGAAGAGAGAAATAAATATAAATTAAAATCCTTACACTTCACATAGGGCTTTTCAGCCAGGAGGACGTCTCAAAACACTTCACAGCATATATTGTAAAATGTAATGACTGCATTTTGTAGGCAAACACAGCAGCCAATTTACGCACAGCAGTGTCCCCAAAACAGCCATGAAGTAAAAAGTACATGATCAATTTTATTGGCAAGATTGTTGGCCTTCAGCCCCGTATCCCCACTCTTTTGGAACTCCATCCCACTGTCTCTTCGCCTCGCCCTATCCCTTGCTTCCTTCAAGGCTCGTCTCAAGACCCTCCTCTTCGACCATGCCTTCGGTCACCCTCCTACCCACACTATGCCTGCCCTCCATCCCGCCTGATTCCAATCCCTCAGCTCCGGTGCAAATCCTTGACGATCCAGCACCTAAGACGTCCTCCCGACGTGAAAGGTGCTACATAAATATTAAAACTCCAGTGTCAGGCACATGCAGAGCTGCAATGCCATTTGCTAGCTTTTTTTTACCATACAATACCATAAGCGGGTCGGTAATAAAGCCCACTATCAGAAACCGCTTAACTTACACTATCATGAGAACCAATAAACACAAAAACATTCATGCCAACTGAAGCATTTGGTTAAAAGACGAAGTAGTGTGGACCAAAGACTAAAGGCAAGCAAAAGAAGTAAATGAGATGTGCAGCCAATCCTTCACAAGTCAAACAAGTTGCCCCAAAAATGTAAGAATGTTCGTGTGATTTGACATATACACTCAGTTTTATTGTCCAATTAAATCCTAATGCATTCCTCACCCTGCTGATTAAATTATACCACCCCCCCAGTCCGTCCATCTGCTCACCATGTCCTCATCTCAACAAGTAGCCAGATTCCACAGCAAAGCTGCTCATGTGCATCTCGGGCCTGCAGTGCCCGATATGATGAGGCCCAAAGTTCCATTTAGTCTTAACCTTAATCACTCGGAAAAACGGTTTCTAAATTAAGACCAAGCTTATGAAATTTCCACAATTTCATACAATTTTAAAAGTATTACGATAGCATGGCTTTAAAGGCTAAAGGAATCTGGTTTTCTAATCATTGATCGGCAGCCTGGTATAAATTCAGGGCCTGAGCTAAGAGCTGCCGTAGCTCTTGCACATAAAAGGAAAAATGGAAAGACAGCAAACATAATAATAAGCCTTACATTTGGTATAACGCCTTTCACATCAGGAGGACGTTCCAAAGGACTTCACAGATTCACTATGAAGTGACAATGCATTTATGGGCAAAAGCAGCAGCCAATTTGCGCTCAGCAATGTCCCACAACAGCTATGAAATTAATGATAAATTTTATTTTGGGGATTGTTGGCCAGGAAAGGGAAGAAACTCCCTTCTCTTTTCGAATAGTGTCACAGGATCTTTAACATCCACTTGAACAGGCAGAAGAGGAATTGGTTTAACATCTCATCCAAAGGACGCAATTCAGCGCACCACCAGCACTGCACTGGAGTGTCAGCTTAGATTATGTGCTCAAAGTCCTGACGTGGGGTTTGAACCCACAAACGTGACTCCAATCAATCACTGAGTAGGTGTGTGAGTCATTCCTGAAGTGATTCTTCTTTTTAAAAATCTAGCCTCAAAGGTCAGGATGTGGGAAACTATAGGCTTGAGACTCACAATTCCCCAGGGGAGATTCCTAGGCAAGGTTGGCGATCTAAAGGACCAGACTATAAGACTGACTGCAACATGCTGTGGTTCTATGCTGAGAAATAAGCTACTGTAACCATAAACAAACTGTCAGCACACATCCACGCCATGCCAGCAGTTCCTCCAGAGATTGAGGCCCATTAGAAAGCTGTCTTAAACCCTATTAAAAATCTTCGACAATGCCTTTGGTCAACATCCTAAAACTCCCTCTCCTTTGCCACCCTGCTCAGGGTTCCACAGTGGCTCTATAAAGTGTTTCAACAGGACAGCGCTTTAATTCCTTGTTGAAAAGGGGATTATGAGGCCGGTCAGGTATGTTGTGGCTTTACCAAGCGCTGTCCAGCTCAGTGGGGGGAGGGGGTTGGGAATGACCAGAATGTGTGTAGCAGTGAATTTGTCTTAACCCACAGCCCTTCCACCCCCCCGACCCCCACCACCCACCACCATCCAACTCACCACAGCCCCACGGCATTTTCTGCCCAGCAATGATGTAGTTTACTCAGTGAGCTCCCGATTTTGTAGATGGGTCATTGAGGTGTCAGTGAGCGGTATGTAGTTATGCTCACAGCACAGCTTAGAGGTTCAAACAGAATTGTTGTGGGTCGAATCTGACTGCGCATATCCTTTTCAATATAACAACAACAAAATTATATTTGTATAGCGCCTTTCACATCGGGAGGACGTCCCAAGGCACTGAAACTGACGTGCGTTATACAACATGGATGGACATGTAAAGCCCAATCCCTCTTTAAACTCATAGAATCTAAACTGACACTTTAATGCATTTTCAGAGGTGCCGTCCTTCGGATAAGACGTTAAATCAAGGTGCTTTCTGCCAGTTCTGTGGATATTAAAGATCCCATGCCATTATTCGAATATAGAAGGGAGTTCCTCCTGCTGTCTTAGATTGCTTTGAAATTTATTGTTTATAATGTCAGGATTATTTTATTATCTATCAATGTGCTAGAGCACTGGCTCCCAATATACCTTCATAAATGGGGACCATGAGGCAACAACAACTTGTATTTACACAGCAACCCTTCATGTGGGATAATATCTCGAGGACTTCATAATAGTGAGGTCGGATGCCAAGCAAGGGAGAAGGTGAAGGAGAAGGGGCCAAGGCACGAGCTGCTGATAAGCATCTTACCTCTCAGTGACTCCATGATGGGCTGGATAGTCTCTGACCACTGATGGGAGCTGATCACAGAGTAAATTCCAGGGAAGTCCCTTTGCCAGATTCGCTGTCCAACAGACCAGATTCCTCCCAACTCAGGATTAGCCTGCAACACAAGACAAAACTCCACTTGACACAGCAAACCAGAGTCTGGCTCCTGATGCTAACAAGTATGTAAAGGTAACTAGACTCTCAAGACTCTTCCAAGATTTAATATTGTAACAAAGGGGACTTGCATCTCGTGAAACAGCATAATTTAAAGGCGCAGTCCTATGCTTTGAGTTTGTTTAAAAAAAAACTTTACACTATCTTTAAGCCTGATGCTGTCCGAAATGAATCTCAGGTCCAGTTTACTGATGGAAAGGAGAGATGGGACCTCCGTCTGATCTGGGTCAGGAATTTTCAGTTTCAATCCCACATCAGGACTCAAGCTCATAGTGTAGACTGACACTGCAGTAATGAAGTGTTATCAGAAGTGCCATCCTTTGGGCGGAAACTTGGGAATCTATAGGACCAAGGAAAACAACTCTAGTCAGCTGCATACGAAACAATAGTTTCATGTCAGTATGAGCTGGGAGTACGAGCTGAATGAGTGGGTAGTTGAGGAAGATGAGGAGGGAAGGGAAGGTGATCAAAAGAGCGGAATGGGGCGAGGCTGAGGGTCTCTGAGAGGGAGTTCCACAACCAGGGACTAGAATGGCTGAAAGCTCGCCCTCTGGTGGGAGGATTGGGACACTCAGGAGAGCTGAGGCAGGCTGGTATTCACTGAGTGGAGGGAGCTGTCCAGGAGGTCAGAGGTCGGGTGGGATTTGAAAGAAAAAATAAAAATCATTAACTGATAGCCTTTCAATGGATTCCCTGCTAAATAGCTATCTAATTTCCTCTTGAAATTGCTGACACAATCTGCTTCCCAGGGCAGTCCATCCCATACATTCAGTATCCTCTGTGATAAACTACACTGAGGTTCCTCTGCCTATTTACATCTCCTCCGTAATTAAATGCTAGGCCTCCGTCTCTCACGATGGCACCAGCCCGCAGCAGAAGGAAAGAAAACACAGCCAGAGAGGAAAGCAACCCTCGACTTACCGTTTTCAAAGCCTGAGGAATTCTCTTCCAGAGATACCTTGCCGTATTCCTGGAATTCGTAAATGGAAATAAGGAGTCAAAGTGGAATTGCTCCATTCAAATACAGCAGGACAACTGTACTAACATTAAACAGAACGTCTGACACATCCACCCACAATGTTTATGCTAGTCACAAAGGAGAGGTCCAGGACCGGCACCAGATGCGCTCATAAACTAAATTAAATCTTAATTTAGGTTCAATTCCAGGCAGGGCAAAACCTTGGGCAAGTTTCCTTACTCCACACGCAGCAGCCAATTTGTGTACAGCAATGTCCCGCATTAGTAATGAGTTGAATAACTTTTTTGAATCTAGAAAATTGATCAGAACATCAGAAGAAACTCTTTTCTCTTTCACAATAGTTCCATGGATCTTTAATGTTCACCTGAACGGGCATAGATAGGATCTTGGTCAGCACCTCCGACAAAGCATCTCGAAGTGCTTTGAGACGTCTTGAAGACTTGATAAGGTGCTATATCAAATACAAGGATTATTATTATAAAGCAGTGGGGCTGTGCCTTTGGGAAGTGGGTTAAAATCAATCCCAAAGGTTTCTTTCATCGCATCAGGTTGGCTTCGATTTGGACCCAGTTCCAAAGTAAGAGGATTGTTACAATGCTTAGGTAACCAATGACCTAGGCCAATAGAAAAATGTGGATATATTTGCCAATTTATAATTGCTACTGAGGTACATTTCACTGCCAATCTACATGTTTTTCACTTCATTGATAAAAAAACTAAATATGAGGAAAAACACATATTAGATTGTTGCAAAAAATATAATTAATTTCTTCTTTAAAAAAATGGATAGCCCATTTGGGGGACGGACGGGAGGGACACCAGCACAGGGCCCGAAGAGACCCAGAGAGAGACACACACACTCAAGAGACACAGGAAGACACATTCTCAGAGAGAAAGAGAGAGACACACACACACACTCAGACACAGAAAGACACATTCTCAGAGAGAGACACACTCATGGATAAAAAGAGACATACACACACAGACAAGAGGAACACATACACATAGACACTCATAAACACACACACAGACAGAGGAGAGAGAGACACACACATATAGACACTCACAAACACACACACACATAGAAATAGACACACAGACACTCACAAATACATACAAATGAGAGAGACAAACTCACATAGAGACACTCACAAACAGATACAGAGAGAGAGACACACACACACACAGACAATCTCAACATCGGGGTCTCTGAGTGGAGTGAAGCCCATTTCCCACATGTGCTGCACTGCGCATGCATGTCCAGATCTGCTACGCCCAGTTATGTTGGGTAAACAGCCGGCAGAGGCCCAGGCCCAGAAACTTCATTTCTTAACAGGTTTATAGCAAAGATGCTGTTTATAGCGGATTCCACTGAAAAACTGCAGCCGCACTTTTCTATTGGCCTAGCCAATGACCTACATACACTGCAACCCTGGCTAACTGTGGCCAGTGAACCTCTGGAGCTATTTTTAAAATAGTCTAAAACTCATTTCTGCAACAATACAACAACTTGTATTTAGACAGATTCTTTCGCTAGGATAACTTCTCAAAGTGCTTTATAGAGGGATAGCCAGATGTGGAGCAGGAAGAGTGGTGCAGCGGGAAAGCTGGCTGTAGGCACAGTTGAAGAGATAGTGGGGCGGAGGGCATGAGGGTATTAAAAACACTGATCTAAAACCACAGTTCAGCGGAGTCAACGGGTTCTTGCTTTCCTTTGTAGGAACAAGCTAAACAACATCCCATCTCCAGCAGGCCAAAGCTATTTTTACGATCTGCACATTCTTACTTTTACGGACTTCCCATTGCAGTGGAAAATAAGCACATCAACATTTCCATTCATTTCCCTGTACCCTCAGAGACCCTTGTTTGGACTCAGCCCAGGGAGAGTAGGGCTGTGTATCTGTATTTCAATCTACCCTTGGACCGTGCACAAGAGTTTAGCTCTCTCCGCTCGGGCTGAGTGCACTTCTGTGAAAAGAGGCCACGTTGTTAAATTAGAGCTACCAGAACAATTGAACGATCTGGCAACCACATGGAAAACAGTCTAAAGAAGTCTGTGAAAAACGATGGGAGTTTCAGTATCTAATAACGATTGAGTTTTAACACGGCATCTCGTCACTCATTTTAAATTGTGTATTCTGAAACTTGAGTTTGCATTGACTTACTTTAACAACCAAGTTGGAAGCTAGCAGTTTAAAAACTTGGCCTGGTAAGGCTCTGTATTTGTGCCAGCCTGTCATTGTGGAGTCCTGTAGCTCAGTGGTTAGAGCACTCGCATTGCAAGCGAGAGACCTGAGTTCAATTCCAGGCAGAGGGCGAAACCTTGGGCAAGTTTCCTTACTCCACACAGAGCCTAATAATAATCCCTTCAAAGCCAAAAACAATAATAAATTGGTCATTTTCAATCTACGACTGTTTGTGGGACATTGCTGTGCGCAATTGGCTGCCGCGTTCGCCCTCAAATATACAGTCAATTCACTTTACAGTATATTCTGTGAAGCGCTTTGGGACGTCCTCCCGACGTGAAAAGCGCTATATCAAATGCAAGGATTATTATTATTATTATTATTGTAAAGGGTTTTTCTTCAAAAGAAATTACACACTTCACAAAACATTCCAGCGCATCCAATCAGAATTAGCTGATTTACCGCAAGTGCTAATAAAATGGAACCTTGTGAGTATTCAACCAGCCTGCACAACGCAAGCCAGGAAACATTTCAGGATTAATGCTCCATACTTGTGCCAAAGTGCTATTAGCCCAACTCACATTTTAGACCCAGCTATAGTTCCCAAGATGCTCCCTCACCACCACATTGCTGAGCTTATTAGTGATAACTAAATGGAGTGGCGCTTCTGACCTGGGGATCAAGGAAATGATCCTGAAAGCAGTCACTTAAATTCCATTCTGCTAAGGAAACAGCCCAACCATCCTGTGCTACTGTTTATACTTTACGAGCTCCCAACCTCCTATTGCCCTCTCCCTCAAGTTTCCTTTTAAATATGTTTATTTTCTTCCAATGTGTTCATGAGTTAAAATCTACTATTATAAGCTTCCTATTTAAGTACACATACTTTCCGCCATTAAATCAACAGTCGGGAGGCCAATAAAATGATCCAACCAGCATTTCACACATCCTCCCCTGTCTCGCATTGTCCATTGTGATTCCACTGCTATAAAATCATTCTTTCCATGTTTACTAATACCTCTTCTCCCAAGGCTAGAATTCACAAGTCTAGGCTGATATTCCAATGGAGTGCTGGAGGAGCTTTGCATTAATGGAGGTGCGTCCTTTGGACGAGACATTAAGGTGAAGTTCAGTCTGCCTGTTCAGGTGGACATTAAAGATGGCATTATTCCCATAGCATTACTGAAAAAGAGGAGTTTCTCCTGGAGTCCTGGCCAGCAATCCCCAAATAAAATTGGTCATTCGCTCCATACTATCTGTGGGATACTGCTGTATGCAAATTGGCTGCTATGTTCACCCACAAGATACAATATACCTTGTGAAGCATTTCGAATGGCCTCCCAACGTGAAAAGCGCTATATCACATGTAAGGATTATTATTACTAATATCATTAAAGTTTGAATTTTTTCTTCACCAACAGGAGCGGGTGGCTTCAAATGCAAGTTGAGCTGATAGCCCATGTGCTAACCTTGCTCAAACACAGGCAGCTTCGGGTGGCTGGATGTGTGACAATGGTCAGCTTTTTTTTGAGCAGTGACGTAAGTCGGGGATCATGATCGGTGACATTACAATGTAGAAGTGCTGGGGTGCTCGCGTGCTGGTATTTTACGGAACCATCAGTATTTTATGGAACCATCTACTGTACAGCATTATATTTACTCTCAATACTCACATGTCATTGTGCAGAAGATATAAAGCAAGCAGCTGACCATAAACCTGAGGGGTTGCTATTCCACCAGGAGCCTAAAAATACAACAGAAAGTGGATTATTGACAGTGAGAAATGAAAAAATACAGCCAGAGGAACGGGTGCTTCTGAAGACAATTATTATTAATAATACTATTATTGTTGCTGTTGTTAATAATTATTATTACATTTGATATAGTTTTTCACAAAGGGAGCCCATCTCAAAGAGTTTCACAGCCTTTACCCTTAAGTGTGATGATCGCCTATACCAAGATGACTGACATTGTCAGAGGTGCTGTGCTTCAAATGAGATGTTAATCCAAGGTCATGCCTGCTTGTTTAGGTGGACCTTAATGATCTCAAAGAACTATTCAAAAAGAGAGGGAGTTTCTTGCTCCCCGTATCCTGCCCAATGATCCTGCAGGTTAAATTAGTCACTCATTTCATGGTTGTTTGTGGGATACTGCTATGCCCAAAAGTGCCTTCAAATACAGGTGAAGCACTTTGTTATATCAACAATGTGATAAGGTGCTATAATAATAATATAATCCTTGCATTTGATATAGCGCTTTTCACATGTTCTAGACATCTCAAAGCGCTTCACAGAATAAACTGTAAAGTGAATTGACTGTACATTTCTGGGTGAAATGCATCAGCCAATTGCGCACAGCAGTCTCCCACAAACTATCGTGGATTGAAATGACCAATTTATTATTTTTTTTGAGGGATTATTATTAGGTGTCTGGAGTAAGGAAACTTGCCCAAGATTTCACCCTGCCGGGAATCAAACCCAGGTCTCTCGCTTGCAAAGCGAGTGCTCTAACCACTGAGCTACAGGACTCTGCTATACCTTATAAGATGCTAAATGCAAGGATTATTATTACATTAAACTCCTGATAACTCATCAATCCAAGGGAAAAGTTCTCAGTGATGAGTTATTGGGAGTGGTGAGTTAGGCATATGTATAAATACATAAATAATATGCAGCCGGGATAATGACAGCATGGTGACTTATGTGGTAGTGACAATTTAAGCCCGGGTTGAGTTATCAGAAGTTTACTGTATTATTAACTGTGGCACTTTGGAGTCTAACAGCCTGACAACACTTGCTGCCAAGACTCACACTGAGTGAATACTAGGTACCTGAGAACGAGGTACTAGTGCCAATGGGACTTTGTGCTAGTACAAGGAGGCAGGAGGCAGAAGAAATAAAAGATCAAAATATTTGAAAAAAAATGTTGGCACTAACAATTCCTTAAGGTTTGAGTTATACCTGAACAAAGTTACTGTGAGAAAAATGGGAACAAAGTTATTTTCATGTTGATATCCAGATGTGAGTTCACACAAGGAGAAGACTGGTCCCATTCGCCATGAACACTGGATAAAACAGAACCCACTGCCAACTTCTTAAGGACACAAAAGTATAGTTCATTACACTTGATAGTATATCTTGCAAAGTTCTTTGGGAGAGCCTCATAATGTTAAAGGCGCTATACCAAACACAAAGGTTAACATCATTATTATAAGTCAGCATTCAAGGGCCTTAAATAAAGATTTTACTGACCTGATGTTTGAGCAGTGCTTATAGACTGCTGTGTGCACTTTGCACAAAAGCTGTGTAACTCAAGTGTCTGCTGCAGCTCGTGACTGGCACTGAAGTTGCTTCCTTGGGCAGAGAAGCTGGCAAATAATAAATCTAGCTTTTCACGTCTTCTAAACGTCTCAAAGCGCTTCACAGAATATACTGTAAAGTTAATTGACTGTATATTTGTGTGTGGGTGAAACGCAGCAGCCAATTGCGCACAGCAGCGTCCCACAAACAGTCGTAGATTGAAGTGACCAATTTTTTTTTNGAGGGATTATTATCAGGCGTGTGGAGTAAGGAAACTTGCCCATGGTTTCGCCCTGCCAGGGATTGAACCCAGGTCTCTCGCTTACAAGGCGAGCGCTCTAACCACCGAGCTACAGGACTTCTTTGGTCTTTTGAATGACCAAATAATGTAAACTACCACAAACGAGGATTATTACTCAGGACATAGGGCCCATCGAGTCTGTACTGGAGCTTTCTTCTCTAACCCCATACCCCTGCTCTTTTTCCATTGTGTCTCTGCTTGTGCTTGCTCCCCCACTGGATTCATTTCCACTGCTCCTTTTTCCCTTTCCCTTCAATATTATTTATGGAACAACTGGAACAAACAGCAGTGACCAAAGACACTGGGCAGTGAGATTTAGCTCCCTTTTAAATGGGGTGACTAAATCATATTTACAACAGTCAGATGCATATACTGTATGTTGCTCTTGTATCCCTATAAAACCTGTTTTGTACCAGCAACATGGTTACCTAGCATTCTCTGCTGACAGAATATATGTACTGCAGCAACAATATTAGGAGGACCATCACACTGAAACCAGGTATAATATATATTAATATAAAACAGTACATAATAAATATTTTCAATAGATATATGTAATCCATGCAGCATTTAATATAGTGTATATCACATCAGTGAGGTGTCTTAAAGTGCTTCACTAGATTTTGCTACAAAGCAAATACGAAGACTTCGTGCACACAGCAAGGTACCACAAACAGGCATGAATTGAATCACTAATTCTTATCTGGTCAATTTTATCTGGGGGATTGTCGGCAATGGGGTCTTCAACGTCCACCTCAACAGGTAGCCGGGACCTTGGTTTAACACAGTCGTGGCCGACCTGTGGTCCACGGGTCATCAAGAAGCGTCGTCATCCCGCCACCCACCCCCAACATTTACACGAATATAGGCAAGTGTGTTTTCAGTTTTTTTTCAATTGAATATTTCTTGATTTATAAACCTAAATATATTTGATCAAGAAAATTTATTTTTTCAGCAGACCATAAAGATTGGCCACCACTGCGTTAATGTCTCATCTGAAAAACAGCACCTCCGACAATGCAGCGCTCCCCCATCACTGCACTGTAGTGTTGGCCTAAAGAGACAATTCAAGTTCAAAGTCCCGACATGGGGCATTTTGACATACAACATTTTGACTCAGAGACAAGAGTGCACCCATTGAATTTTTTTAGAGTATAAATATGCAAAACAGAAGAAAGCCATTCGAGCCAGACTGAATTATCCTTCTCCTTTGAGAAGACAGTTAGAAATGAAAGGGAAATCTGTTGGTACAGCACCAATTTGACAACTACAGAGCTTGTTGCTGTATGTAGGTTGCTGCATTTTAACGGATCAGAAAAAGACAACACTGGCTCATCAGCACAGCAGTCAAAGTAGGGATCTGGCACAAGTAACACAACCTGCTCCTTGTGATGATGCAAAAACCTGAAAAAAAACTTAACATTTATATGTTACAATAAAGTTGTGAAAGCAGGGATTTTGGAAAATCCATGAAAGTTTCAGTAAAATTGTGAAACCATGATATCACTGAAATTAGGAGTTAGGGATACTGCCCTTCACTGGAGCTATATTTGTGGGGTGGGGGCGGGGTCATTGTGTGCGTCAGTGTGTGGGTTGAGTGGGTCAGTGTGTGGGATGGGGGGGTCAGCGTGTGGGTTGGGGGGTCAGTGTGTGGGTTGGGGGGGGTCAGTGTGTGGGTTGGGGGGGTCAGTGTGTGGGTTGGGGGGGTCAGTGTGTGGTTGGGGGAGGAGGTCAGTGTATAGGTTGGGGGGGTGGTCAGTGTGCGGGTTAGCGGGCAGTCAGTATATGGGTTGGAGGGGATCAGTGTGCGAATTAGGGGCGTAATTGTGTGGGTTGGGGGGGTCAGAGGAGGTTGGGCTTGTCAGAGGGGGTTGGGGAGGCCGTTTTGTGAGTTGGGGGGGTTCATTGTGTGGGTTGGGAGTGGTCAGTGTGGGATGGGGGGTCAGTGTGTGGGTTGGTGGGTCAGTGTGTGGGTTGGGGGGGCAGTGTGTGGGTTGTTGGGGTCAGTGTGTGGGTTGTTGGGGTCAGTGTATGGGTTTGGAGGGGATCAGTGTGTGGGTTGGGGGGAGGGGGTCAGTGTATAGGTTGGGGGGTTGGTCAGTGTGCGGGTTAGCAGGCAGTCAGTATATGGGTTGGAGGGGATCAATGTGCGGATTAGGGGCGTAATTGTGTGGGTTGGGGGGGGTCAGAGGAGGTTGGGGGATCAGAGGGGGTTGGAGGGGTCGTTGTGTGAATTGGGGGGTTCATTGTGTGGGTTGGGGGTGGTCAGTGTGGGATGGGGGGGTCAGTGTGTGGGTTGGGGGGTCAGTGTGTGGGTTGGGGGTCAGTGTGTGGGTTGGGGGTCAGTGTGTGGGTTGGAGATCAGTGTGTGGGTTGGGGGGGTCAGTATGTGGGTTGGGAGGGGTCAGCGTGTGGATTGGGGGGGGCTCAGTGTATGGGATGGGTGTGTTGGTGTGGGTGGGGCGGCGCAGTGTGTGGGTTGAGGGGGTTCATTGTGTGGGTTGGATGGGGCAATGTGTGGGTTGGGGGGCAGTGTGTGGGTTGTTGGGGTCAGTGTATGGGTTGGAGGGGATCAGTGTGTGGGTTGGGGGGTCATTATATGGGTTGGGGGGGGCAGTGTGTGGGTTGGTGGCGTGAGTGTGTGGGTTGGGGTGGTCAATGTGTGTGGCTTGGGGTGGGTCAGTGTATGGACTGAGGGGGGGGTCAGTGTGGGTTGGGGGAGGTCAGTGTATGGGTTGGGTGGGTTAGTGTGTGGGTGGGGAAGGGCGGGGCAGTGTGTGGATTGAGGGGGGGTCATTGTGTGGGTTGGAGGGGCGTCAGTATGTGACTTGGGAAGTCAGTGTGTGGCTTGGGGGGGAGTCACTGAGTGGGTTCAGGGGGGTCAGTGTGTGGGTTGGGGTTCAGTGTGTGGGTTGGGGGCTCAGTGTGTGGGTTGGGGGGGGTCAGTGTATGGATTGGGGGGAGGTCAGTGTGTGGGTTGGGGGCGTGAGTGTGTGGGTTGGGGCGGTCAGTGTGTGTGGCTTGGGGTGGGTCAGTGTATGGATTGGGGGGGCGCGGGGGTCAGCGTGTGGGTTGGGGGAGGTCAGTGTATGGGTTGGGTGGGTTAGTGTGTGGGTGGGACGGGGCAGTGTGTGTGTTGGGGGGGGGTCATTGTGTGGGTTGGATGGGTCAATGTGTGGGTTGGGGGGGGTCAATGTGTGGGTTGTGATGGTCAGTGTGTGAGTTGGGGGGGTCCGTTTGTGGGATAGGGGGGTCAGTGTGTCATTGAGTGGGGAGGAGTCAGTATTGGATTGGAGAGTAGTCTGTATGTGGGTTTGTTGGGGGTCAGTGTGTGAGTTGGGGGGGTGGTCAGAGCCTCATTGGCTGCCGTCAGCACTTCCACATCTCAGCCTCTGGCAGCATCACCATCCATGGTTGCACACTCCACCTCACTGCCGGTCTGGATCCTTGGCATCTTGTTTGACCCTCAACTACCCCACACCCATGCCATGACCTGCTCTGCGTTCCCCCACCTCCACAACATTGCCCGCCTTCGCCACTGTCTCGCACCCGAAGCCGCCAATATCCTGTGCAAACTCCTTTCTTGTCGGTCTCCGCACCGGGCTCCGTGACCCCATCACTCCCATCCTCACCCGACTCCACTGACTTCCCATCACACAGAGGATAAGGTTCAAGATCCTGGTCCTCACCTTCAAAGCCCTCCATGTTCTTGCTCCCCCCAACCTCTGCTCCCTCCTAACCCCCCACCATCCTGCTCCCTCCCTCCGCTCAGTGGGCTCCGGCCCTGTCTCACTCGCCCCACCATTGGCGGCGGGTCTTCTGCCACTCTGCCCCCACCCTCCGGTACTCCATCCCGCAGTCCCTCCGCCTCACCCCTCCCTTCGCCTCCTTCAAGACCCATCTCAAGACCCTCCTTTTCGCCCGGGCCTCCCCCCCCACCCCACCCCGTGCCCCCCGCCCCGTGCCCCCGCCCCGTGCCCCCCGCCCCGTGCCTCCCACCCCGTGCCCCCCGCCCCGTGCCCCGTGCCCCCGCCCCGTGCCTCCCACCCCGTGCCCCCCGCCCCGTGCCTCCCACCCCGTGCCCCCCGCCCCGTGCCCCCCGCCCCCCGCCCCCCGCCCCCCACCCCGTGCCCCCCGCCCCGTGCCCCCCACCCTCCCGGATCCCGACCCCCAACTCGAGTCCGAAATACTGGTTGTCCAGCGCCTTGGGACGTCCTCCCATCGTGAAAGGCGCTTTACAAGTTGTTGTTGTTGTTGTCAGTGCGGGGGCGGGGGGGGGGGTCAAGGCCTCACCTCCAGCTCTTGGGTCTCGCACTGCTCCAGGAGTTTGCTGAAACCCACAGAGTTTTCCGCCATCACCGCCGCGGGCATCTTCCCGCCACCTGACCGCTTCTCCCTCACTCTGTCTCCAGGAGTCTGACAGTCCGCTTCTCCCCTCCTCTCTCTCTCTCTCTCCGGCGACCGTCAAATCCACCGACTCCGTAGCCACGCGCCCCCTGTCGCCGGGAGGACTCCTCACCCTCCTCACAGCGCCCCCTGTCGCCGGGAGGACTCCTCACCCTCCTCACAGCGCCCCCTGTCGCCGGGAGGACTCCTCACTCTCCTCACAGCGCCCCCTGTCGCCGGGAGGACTCCTCACCCTCCTCACAGCGCCCCCTGTCGCCGGGAGGACTCCTCACCCTCCTCACAGCGCCCCCTGTCGCCGGGAGGACTCCTCACTCTCCTCACAGCGCCCCCTGTCGCCGGGAGGACTCCTCACTCTCCTCACAGCGCCCCCTGTCGCCGGGAGGACTCCTCACCCTCCTCACAGTGCCTCTGCCTGACTGACCACCCATAACCCTAAGGTTTGGTCCAGCACCTTTAACATCATACAATCATACAGCACAAAAAGAGGCCGTTCAGCCCTTCGAGCTCTTCGTTGAGGTATCTCCATGCGCTTCACGAGATGTAATAAAAATAATCCTTGCATTTGATACAGCGTCCTATCACATTGTCGCGGCTTCACAGAACTTGCTGTAAATAATAATAATAATCCTTGCATTTGATATAGCGCTTTTCACATCTTCCAGACGTCCCAAAGCGCTTCGCAGAACACACTGTAAAGTAAATTGACTGTATATTTGTGGGCGAACGCAGCAGCCAATTGCGCACAGCAATGTCTCACAAACAGTCGTAGATTAAAAATGACCAATTTATTATTGTTTTTGGTTTTGGAGGGATTATTATTAGGCTCTGTGTGGAGTAAGGAAACTTGCCCAAGGTTTCGCCCTCTGCCGGGAATTGAACTCAGGTCTCTCGCTTGCAAGGCGAGTGCTCTAACCACTGAGCCGCAGGACTCCAACGTGGCTTTGACTGTGTATTTTGTGGGCAAACCCTTAGATCTCTTTCAGCTTCTCCCTTGGCAGGTTCTGCGTCATCACATCTACCCTCTACGATGAGTTTCAAACAGCCGGGTTACGTAGCTATTGCTTACATTAGCCGCCTTTTTCGCCCACAAAAGACACAACAACAACTTGCACTTTTTATAGTGCCCTCCACGCAAGGTAGGGTCTCAGAGCGCTTAACAGTGGCGGAGCCTGATTCCGAGCCGGATTGGGGGAGGTGGCCATAAGCACAGTCGAAGAGGAAAGTATTCAGGCGGGATTTGAAAGAGTGGAGAGAGGGGGCAAGGCGGAAAGATTTAGGGAGAGTATTCCAGTCTTTCGGGGGATAGTGGCTGAAAGCACGACCTCCGATGGTGGTGTGGAGGGTAGGAGGGACGAGCAAGGGCCCGCCTGGTGCCAGTCGAGCGGAGGTCCCAGGTGGTGGACTGAGGAGGTTGGAGAGGTAGGGAGGTGCAAGGGAGTGAAAGGATTTGAACACATGTGAGGATCTTGAATTTCGATCCAATGGAGAGCCAGAGGAGCCTGGCCAGAAACGGTGAGATATGGGTACAGAATTTGGTCTGGGTCAGTATGCAGCCGGCAGAGTTCTGAATGAGCTGAATCTTTTGAATTGGGGAGCTGGGGAGACCGGCAAGGAGTCCGTTGGAGTAATCTAAGTGCGCAGTGTCAAATGTTACACGAGGGTTTCGGCTGCACTTGGGGAAGGGTATGTTCGGAGGCAGGCAATGTGGAAGAAGACGGTCCTGGTCAGGAACTGGATGTGAGGGAGGAAGGACAGCTGGGTATCAAACCGGATGACTAGGTTGCACACTGGTTCGGTGAGTCTGAGGGAGAGTCCAGGGAGGTTGAGGAGTTTAGATCTGCAGGGGTGAAGACATTGACGGGAGCCAGGGAGTGTGGCTTCCGTCTTGTGCATATTCAGCTGCAGGACACTGATGTCTGCTAGACAAGCTGATAGAACATTGGTGGACCGGGAGTTGTTACTGGAGGAGGCAAAGGAGATTTGTGTGTCATCCACATACATCCACATGTGGAAGTTTATGGATGACATCGCCCAGAGGAAGCATATAGGTAAGAAAAAGAAGAGGACCAAGGATGGAGCCCTGAAGTTGACCTGCAACAATGCGTTCCAGGTCTTTGGCAAGGAAGCATAGGTTGGAGATGGGATGGTAATGTCAGAGATTAGAGGGATCGATGGTGGGTTTTTTGAGGAGGGGTGATGACAGCGGTTTTCGTGGGGAGTGGAACAGAGTCCAAAGAGAAAGACTTGTTGACTATGTCAGCCAGCAGGGGGGAGAGAAGCGGGAGTTGAGTGACCAGCAGCTGGGTGGGGAGGGGGTCGAGGTAGCAGGAGGTGAAGTTTGCCCTGCCTTGAGTTCAGCAACAAACTGAGCAAGAATAATAAAATTCTAAAACAGGCACACCCATCAGAGAATTACAGCTATTAATCCAAAAACCTTCTCCAATAACTGCCAGCATCAGGAATTGGGGTAAATTATTTTTTTTTTAAATGTATCCCCAGATTTGGGTTACAAAATATAGAGTACAAGATTTTAAATGGTATTGAAAAAGTAAATAATAATCTTTTCATTATCTGATATATTGTCTTATCACATTATTGAGACATCTCAAAGAGCTTCACAAAATATATTGTAAAATGGATTAACTCTATTTTGTGGGCGAAACGCGGCAGCCAATTGCGCACAGCGGTTTCCCACAAATCGTGGATTGAGTGACCACATTTTGTTTTGAGGGATTATTATTCCAGGAAAACACATTCCCACTTAATGCTAGTTAAGTAGAGACGTATGGAGTAAGGAAACTTGCCTAAGGTTTTGTCATCGAACCCAGGCCTCTCACTTGTGAGGTGAACTACGCTCCAGGAGGTACATAATACTGGCAGTCCCGTAAGGCAGCAGAGCAAGAGGGCACAGGCTCAACAAGGATTGCAAAGAGCAAGTTGCAGACAGACACTGTTCAGTATTTCTTTACACAGAAAGTAATTAATAACTGAAATGGGGTTAGCAGGTGGGATAGTGGAGGCCAGGACACCGTATTATTTAAAGAAACAGCTTGATGCTGTAATGGGAGGCTGATAACTGGGTGTAATGAAGGCACGAGATCAAATAGGACTTTGAACTCATATAGTCTAGGACAGCAGTGGCCAACAGAATACATTTTCTTGATTGAATATTTCTCGATTTTTGCCACACACTACTGATCGAATATGGATTTATCTAGACTTATTCGAGTGTCCAGGAAAGGCAGGGCAAGGGGCTTCTTAACACCCTGCAGGCCACAGATTGGCCACCACTGAACTAGGATGATGCTCCAGTACAGCACCAAGGTCCTGTCTGCTTGCTTAGGTGGACTTTAAAAATCTCATGGCACTATTCGAAAAGAGAACAATCCCCAGGTCTTCTTCATCCAAACCTCTCTTGTGATGACAGTGTCAGGCAATGACCACTAGGTGCAGCCTCCACACAGTCTGATCCTGTTATATATCTTGAAGGCTCCAAGCTGTTGAAATTTACATTTCCTTCCTAGAAAATTTGAGGCAGGGATTTCAGTGTGAGCAAAATCAAGGCTCAGAAGAATCTTTTAGTCACACATTCTCCATTGAGTGAGGAAAGTGTATGTTAACTGTGATTTTCCAATCATCGACACTTAATGCCACCTCCCCCTTTGCAGATAAGTGAACAACAACAACAACAACAAGATTCCATTTATAGAGCGCCTTTCACGTTGGGAGGACGTCCCAAGGCGCTGTACAGTTGGGTCAGGACCCGAGCAGGGGGGAAATGGTCAGGGTGAGGGGAGGGAAGGGAGGGAGCGAGGAGGGGGGAAATGGTCAGGGTGAGGGGAGGGAAGGAAGGGGGTGAGGAGGGGGTAGAGAGTTGAGAGTGGAGCTGAAGGCATGGTCAAAGAGAAAGGTCTTGAGACCGGCCTTGAAGGAGGAAAGGGAGGAGGCGGCGAAGGCACTGGGGGATGGAGTTCCAGAGCCTCGGGGCTGAGAGGCTGAAGGCCCGGCCACCGATGGTAGGACGGTTGGGGCGGGGGATGTGGAGCAGACCGGAGCCAGAGGAACGGAGGGTACGGGCAGGTAGGTAGGGGGATAGCAGGTCAGAGAGGTAGGAGGGAGCAAGGCCGTGAATGGACTTGTAGGTGAGGATGAGGATCTTGAATTCGAACAGTTGTTATTGATGGACAGCTGTGCACTCCAGAATGTGGGACTCTTGGGATCTGGTTCCGTGCGTGTCTTGCAGCTGCATTGACAGGGAGCAAGCATCTGATCGGGCCCTGAATGTCTTCACTTCCCTCCTCTCCAGAGATCCATCTCAGTAATATCTGCAACAGTAATAATAATCATTATATTTTATTGAATGCCTTTCATGTCAGGAGAGCATCATAGGAGGACAGGAGGCCAAAGCACTTTATAAGATTTACTGTAAAGTGTACCTAAAACTTAGTTAAGCAGGGTGCCTTTCTCTGGGCAGAGAGTATGTATTCCATTCCAGACAAAGGGAAATTTCCATACTTTGGTGAAACTCTCAGTCTACAACAACTTGCATTTATTCAATGTCCTTCTCGCAGGGTAGAATCTCAGAAAGCAGTCTAGTATGGAGACTCTTAAGCATCTGAAGAATTTCTTTGTAGATGGTGATTAATAGCTGGAATGAGGATACCAGAAAGCGGTGGCCAGGACACTGGGACTTATTCAAGAAAGAGCTTGATGCTATATTGGCAATATGGTAGGGTGCGTATTGTACTGCGTTCAGGAAGGATGGGCTAAAAATCTTTCTTCAGTATCATTTCTCTTGTGATTACTGAGGTGTCCACCATCAGAGGGAAAATATCCAGGGCAGGAGCTGACACCAAGACAGGAGGAAGTGTCAACACAGAGGACGACATTAAAAAAATGCAGCGAGACATGGATAGGTTAGGTGATTGGGCAGGTAGGTGGCAGATGAAGTATAATGTAGGGAAATGCGAAGTCATCCACCTAGGTAGCAAAAACAGTAGAGCGGGTTATTTTTTAGAAGGGGAGAGATTGGAATG